CAACTCCCGCGCACGCTGGGTAGTGTCTCTCCGTCTACGGGCAACTGACCTCGGGGTGAGGCTGCCGCCCTCCCTCGGAGCTGCGCTCAAGGGTGACGAAGGGCCTGCAGCGCCTCCAGATGGCGCTGCGACCGAACCTCCAGAAGGTAAGTCCCCGGCGACCCCGCCCGATGCCGCTGCGACGGAACCTCCAGAAGGTAAGCCCCCTGCAGCCCCGCCAGATGGCGCTGCGACGGAACACCCAGAAGGTAAGCTAGGGCTGGCTGGCCCCCAAGATAAGTCCTGCACGTGAGGCAGCTTCCCCTCCCCTGGGACTGACCGCAAAACGCGCTGGTCGATCTCCGTCAAATCCCTCCTGTCGTGGTCCTCCAACTCCTCAGTGGTCATAAAACCAAAAGGGAGGCTGCCTCGAGGCGTAGCCACATGCCTAATCTCCGGCCTCGTTCGTGACGGCGCAAAAGTAGGGACCGGGGGTATGCACGCGCCCCTGCTTACACGTCGCTCCTCGACCGGGCCACCGCCATGTGCAGGACGCCTAAAACCCTCCAAAAACGGTGTCTGATGTGGCACCACTGGCCCTACATCAGTGCGAACCACCAAAGTCTGTGGCATCTCCTGTCCGTCCGCGTCACGCCTGTCCACCTGTGCGGGGTCTCCCCCGCCAGACGTGGACATCGGATCGGCCGCGGACGGCACCCCCGACCCGCCAGCACCAACGGTCCCCGCTACGGCCCCGTCCCCCCCGGTGGTCGGCGCTATCCCCTCCGCCTGTGCCGATGGGCGAATATCATCAACGCCCACTGACTGCCCCGTCGGTATGTCCTCCAGACCCGGGGACATATGCACGGCACCCTCGACTGAACCCGCAGGCCGAGGCACGCCCGCGACCTCCTTCAATGTCTCCTCTGGCCTCCGCTCCACGGCAGGATGCTGCGCCGACTCCGAACGTGGCTCCTCTGTCGGTGCCAACCCGCTCTCGTGCGTTCCCTGCTGGACATCCACTCCCGTACTCGAAACCTCTGCCGAAGCTGCCTCCCGCTGCGTCGTGTCATGAACCTCTGCAGGAGTATCCGTGTGGGCAGCTGGCCCCGCGTCAACAGACGCCGGCGTAAATGTTCGCGACCCGCCGGCAAGGAAGTTAACGATGGGTCTAGCATCGCGTGACTTCCTTCTGTTTGACATAATGGTGGCCCCGTGACATAGAAAGGAGCCCTGACCTCCGCGAGATCAGCTCCCACATCATCCGCCGTGTGGACAGTGGTCTCTATGTCCGCGATCTCATTCTCTGAAGGCCACAACACCTTCACTGGCCCCGGCAAGTCCCTGAAGTGTCGGACGACGTCCAACCATGGCTCGCTCCGGAAGACGTTGAACGCCAGGCGCTGACTGTACACAAACCGCAGCCACTTCTTCTTGAACTCCATCTGCCACTTTGAAGTGAACGACTCCGTGATCGTGTTCTGTCTCATCCTCTTCTGTGCTGCGGCTGCTGCCGTCGGTCTGTCCCCCTCCTCTCTCTCCTTCCTCTTCCCCGCAGACGCACTTGCCTCAGGCGTATCCGCACCTGCCCATGCACGAACCGACACGTGCGCCGACGCAAAGTACTGGCCCTGCTGCCCCCCTGGCTCGCTGACAACGCCCTTCCCTCGCTCCCTCCTTGACGACCCCGCCCGTGCAACCTTCTCGTCGTCGTCGTCCACATTGATCTGCTCCCCCGCGTCCCTCATCTCTCCCTCCCACCCCTCGTCCCGTTGCGGATCTACCGCAGCCGCCGCGCCGTGAAGCTCCTCAAATCGCTGTATCCGCTCTAGGAACTTCTCGGACATCTTGTACTCACTGTTATAGTGGATGTCGACAAGTGCCTCATCTGTCACTTCCGGACATCCCTTGCCCTGGCGGAAATGGCGCGCTGCCACCGACTGGTTGCCCTGGAACTCGTGGCCGCAGAAAACGCACTTCAACATGTGATTGCCGCGGAATCTCTCGCCGAGATTCTGTCCCACGCGGATGTACTTGTACACGCAGCACTTCTTCTGCGCCTTCAGATTCTCGTCCTCCCCCCCATCCTCAAACACCCGAGATTGACTTCGCGGCATCGTGCCCGCTCGCCGAT